AGATTCTAATATGCAAGAAAAAACCTTCAGTTTAGTGCCTGAGGTTATCTGCAAATGAATTCAATAAGAGACTATTGTTGATAGACAAAGTTGTGCCAATCATTATGTCTAATCATTCTTCGTCATTCGCTTGCTTTGGAAGAACATCCTCCCATAAGTGATCACCAAGCTATGTTTGAGGTTGCCATGGCCGCGCCGAAGTCTTGCCGCCGCCTCAGCCGTAGATTTGAATAAGACGCAATAGTTGCTTTGTTTGCATGTATTCCTACACATAACAAAAGGGACATCGTAATTTTTGTGTTTGCGAAGAGGAACTCGTTTTCCTAAATTTCAACTGAAGACTTTTGCCGTGGCCTGGGTAGATCAGTTTAACCTCATTCCGCTCGTGGATCCCCAGTTACCGTAAGCTCAAATTACCACATAAAACTGAGCGTTGAAACCAACTAATGAATGCTTTTCTTAAATGTTCGAAGACAGAAAGGGATATTGTTGTCAACTTGTCTGGCCCTTGTTACACTTTGTAATTATGTAAAATCGATCTATTTATATGCGTAATCACTCGTCGCACTAGAACAGCTAAAAGTATTAGTTCACAAACTCACATTAGCCAGCTTGCTGCGGTTGTATGGATCGAAAAGGCCAAACTTTAGCTTATCATCGATGGTGCTAAGATCCAGCGGTTTGCTCAACTTGTGAAGTACTGAGGCAACGAATATAATTCTTGCCTTTGGTGCTTTTTCAAGAGCTGGCAAAAGCAGATGGGTGAGAAGGAAAGGTCCTGCAATAAACAAATTAAGCATCTAATTAAAAGAAAAGAATAAGAAAAATCTTGTATAATGTGTACAAGAAAAGTTCGGGTAAGAATTCGCAAATCATTCTAGTTCCACAGATTGTGCAGCCAAGATTTTTTGATGTTGACAATAGAAAATCTCATTTTCTACATTCGTGTCGATATGCTTTAAAAAATGACTTTTCAAGTAAAAACACGAAGCTTATAGATTTAAGACATGCAGTGTAGCCATTCAAAGCTAAGCAAAGGTCATGCATTCGTTAGTCAATGTTCGCCGCATGAACTCCTGAAAAAATGCTAACTTTCCAAAAACCTTCACTATGCGGATTTCAAGGGAACAGCGATTCAGTTGCAATCTCTAATTGATCAACACTCAATCCGAAAAAATAAAACTAGCAGGTATTGAGTTGAATGAATGTTGCTTCTTTGACACGAACATAAAACGGGAAATAAACAAAAAAATTCTATTC